TTGGTCGCACTGGGCTACAATGTTGAGCAGTTGCTCATACTGAGTCAGTGTCCACGTGTCACCATTTCATAGGTCGGGTCAAATCATCCTCCATCAGCCACTACCACCTTACCCCATCCATTGGCTTCTCCACTTTTAGAGTTGGAAACTGTAGAAATTGTCTAACATAAAGGTTGTAATGGATTGAATTATTGAAACAGATGTGGACCATATCCATCATCAATAATGATACGYGGCCCTTAATCCATATATCAGAGTGCGTGGTCCACATCGAGCTAGCTTGCGCCAATGGGCTCATATATTCCATCTTTATAGTAAAATCAATTAGGGTTGTTCATAAGAAGACTCAAATCGATCAAACTGACTAACCTGATCTAACTTTACCTAAGTTGGATGGGTTTTCTTTAGCATCAGCTGGTTTTGGGTTACTAAAAAGTATAAATCGATGGGTCGATTCGGTTTTGGTTTTCACACATGAAAACCGAAATTGAACCAATCCGAACCGACATTTCCTATCTAGTACTTAGTAGTTAGTACCTAACTTAGTTTCTACTTTCTAGTTACTTATAGTTTCTACTTTCTAGTCTTCTCTTTAGGAATGCCATTAATGACAAGCATTGCAAGACAAGGAATGTTATTAATTCCATTAATAGCTTCTTGCATTTTTTTGAAAGGTTTAAAGAAAGAATCTTATTCTCTAAGGTCCTTTACATCAAATAGGTAATTACAATTATGTGTCTTTTTTACTTAGATTAGAAGCTTTCTTAAAAGTTTCAACTTTCAGTCTTTTTTTTCTAACGCAATTTGACTTTCTCTTTTCTTGGTAACTTCTAACTTGGTCTGCCCTTACTCCCTTAGCCCCTCAACTCAAGCACTCAAACCGATCAGGTCGGTTTTGCCTAACATAGAGTCAGTTTCGGTTTCATTTTYAGGCAACCCAATCAGGTCGGGTTGGTTGGAAAAACAACAATAAACCAACCCAACCTGACCCATGAACAACCCTAAAATCAATAATTGATCAGAGAGGGTAAGGAAACACATTTTGATTCCAACCTTTTTGTTATTATTTTGCGTCTTATCTCAGCACTGCCACTGTTCCATCTAAACTAGTTGTACAAACAAAAATGCAAAATCATTTGTTGCAAGTGCTCTCAACCATAAGTTAAGTGGGCTCCACCAAAAAATAGAGTGGTGGGTTCGGATATTATTCACCTATTTATTTTCTTAAGGCTGCATTTGAAAGTGATGTAAATCAATAATCGATGTAAAGTTTACATTGGTTCTATTTTGTAGGCATTTGAAAGGAATGTATAATTATGATCGCCATAAAATTCCACTCTGGTTCAGCTTTGCATGTGTTTGGATTGAGTGGAGTTTTACGTCAATAATCGATGTAAAACCTCATCAAGTATAAAGTTTTACATCGATAATTGATGTAAAAACTACATCCTTTTTATCGATATAAAAATTTACACTCTTCCACCTATCACATTTTTCAAAAAGCAACGGTCACTTTCATGGTTCAATATAAAATATTATCAGTGTATTTGACATTTTACACTGATTCCAAATGCAACTTAAAGAGGTTCAAGAAATTTTAATTTAAAATATTGATTATTTTAAGTGGCATGTGTCTATCCTTACTTTTTAAATCATGTTGTTTCATATCGTTTAATAACAAATCAAATCTGTCTGCTAATTCAAATAAAAAACTCAGGAAAAAGGGGTTTTGAATGGGTGTGCAACGCGGTCAGGTTGCATTAGAAATTTGTTAATTATTTTATTGGTCCGAACCCTAACCTGAGCTTGATGTAGTTAGAAATTCTTAAAGTTGAGCAATCTGATTTTCAGTCTTGTTAAAATGTTATATTATTCTAGGTCCTATTCTTCTATATAAAGTGTGTTGTTTAATTGTACATTAAATATGAATATTCTCCTAAATCAATCAAATAAAAAATTAAACCTAAGCTCAAAATAAAATATTTAAATATAGTTCCCCAATGGTTGATACAGGTCATAAACTAGTTAGAGTTTAAAATATTGGAGCTTTCCAATCTAACGGATACCATATTTGGTTCAATATTGACGTAGTTACCACTAGGGATGGCAATGGGTGGATTCATAGAGGGTTTTGTAAGTTTTAGACTCTATCGCCTCCCTTGAACTCCCAACCCTACACTCGTGGATTTTTAAAATCCAAATCTCCCCACATATGAAAATGAAAAACCCTCCCTGATCCTCCCTCCATGAGTCTAGATCACATATATTTAATTTCCTATTATATATAAATAATAAGCAAATGAAATAACATGAACAAATATCAAAATTTTCAATTATTTGATTAAATATGTAAACAATACATAAACTATCAATTATCCTTTATATAAAATTAAAAATATTATTATATTTAATACCTAATATATAAATTCATATACATTTCCAACAATAWACAAATTAGAGAGGATTGATTTGGCTTAATATCAATACCCTATGCATACCCATACAGATGATGAAATCCTCCAAAATCTGTAAGGTCGAGTTGAACTTTTATCAAAATTTAAATGAAAGGGTAAAAGGCCAGCTCGGGCCAAACCGAGTTACACACCTGGTTGCTTATATATATCTGCCTCTATCAAATCCCTCCTTTTCATTTCGGTGGAAATATCAATTTTTTTGTATCCGATGATTTGGGCAGATCACACACTTTTATCGAAGAAGAAAACAATTTTAGAACTTAGAAAATCAAAACATAAAAACTAAACGATTTTATCTTCTAGACCAATTAGTGTGTGCCCACTATATAAAAATAGGATGTGCCCGAATCACACTCTTTTTTTATCTATTGCCGACAGACAATTATTGGTTGGAGGTTGACAGACACGTATAGATCTCTAACCAGCAGCCACCATGTATCAAATTCAGAAAGGCATGAATAGACCACAAAACTTAGACACTTATTTTAATTTATTAATCATATTTTAAATAAAATGCCTAACTTACCCCCCACAACCACAACAAATCAATCAAACGTTTTCACTTTTGAGAGTGCTTAAGCCTTGGTTGATTTGCTTTAACTGAGCTGCGGAGCTGCTTTGGAAAAAAAAGCCACTAAAAGAAAACTTTATTAGAGAGCCGCATACGTGGCTGAAAATGAGAATAATAGGACTGTGAGTGGATTAGATCAAATCAATGTTCCTAGATCCAAATTTGATTTGTTGAGTTCTGATCAAATTAATCAAATCTTATCCATTCGATTCGAATCAATTCAGATTGAAAAACAGACATTATATAATATTAATAAATTGAAATAAAAAGATGAAATATTATATATATATATATATTAATTTATTAATAAATGAATAAAAAAATGAATTGATATTATATCATCATCATTATGAAAAAAACAAACTGTATGAAAATTAAATGCATCCGAACTGATTATCAAGCCTATATCTTGAGTTCGAGTATGGCCTATGTATTTTTTAGTGTATTTTTATAAATTAATATTATATTAATTTAGTAATAATTTAATAAATTAATAAATTAATTTGTATTTTTTAATGGTAAATTAATATTTATATAATAGAAATGTTTTTTATTATATGTAATAGTATTGGGCCGAGCTTATTTGAGAAGGCCTGAACCCAACCCGAAAACGACCAGGCCTGGTATTTAAAAGCCTGAGCCCGAGCTCAAGCCCACAGACCTAAAGTTTTGTCCAAACCCAAGAAGAAACTATTAATACATGTCAATATATATAAATAGGAAAAATCTATGATGCAGAAAAGTTATGATATGGAAAGAGTTTTGACCGATCAAAACCCACTCACAAATTTTGATAAATAACACCTTATTTGCAATCAAGTTTATGATTTCAATTTATTGGTCAGCTGTTTTTCTCATATCATATCTTTTTCATATCATAGTCGAACCCATATAAATTTTATATTATACTATTTTATAATACATAATATAAAATAGTTCTAGATAGGTTTTATAAAATAAAGAAAATAAATTTATAAATATGCAACCAGAATAGGATAAGACAATTTTCTGTAAAGATGAGGTTAACTAGTTAAGATTCTTTAACCTTGATGGAGTTGGAGTTGAAGACGGGGCATTTGGATGATGAATACGAACTCATGAAAAGGTTGCATTTAGGAGATGTTTGCAAATGGCTGAAATGGTTGAACTATATGGCTTATTGATTTGTCTTTTAGTGAATAAAATAATTATATTTTAGGAAAAATTTTTATTAGTGCCCTGTACTTTGGGCCTAGTGTTATTTTAGTTTTTGAACTTTAAAATGTGATAATTTAGAACCTGAACTTTCAAAATATGACAATTTAATACCTACTGTTAACTAATTATTAACTGGCTGTTAAGTGGCAATTGAAAAAGAGACAAATGTCCTTTTGAGTGTCATCTAATTTTCTTTATCAATCATCCGAACATTAACAAAAATTAATAGTCTTAAATCCTTGCCTCTTCTATTCAAGAAAGTTGAGGTCACCAGAATACTCAATCAAATGTGACTCCAACTTTCTTGAATGGAAAAGGCAAGAATTTGAGACTGTTAATTTTTTTGTCAATATTTAGATGGTTGATTAAAAAATTAAATAATACTTGAAGGGCATTTATATATTTTTCAAATGTCATTTAACGGCTGACTAACAACTAGTTAATGGCAGGTAAGTTTTAAAAGTTTGGATAAAGTGACACGGTATTAAATTTAAAAAAATGAAATTCAAAGGACTATTAAATAATAAAATTTAATTTCGTATTCGTAAACAAATAAAATACATGCATCTTACTTCGGATTTACCTAAACAAATAAAATTTAATTTCGTAAATAAACGAACACTGAAGGCTATTTTGTTAATTATAAGGTGATGTGAAGTTCAGTGTTTATTGTTTAACCATTTATTTGATTAATAATAATAAATTAACGAGAAAATCAAAATCTGTATCAGTAGTTTCTTCAATACGTCCCCACCGGCCCATCCGTCTGATATCTGTCACTCTCGCTCTCGCTCTCGCTCCTGTTCTCCTCTGAATGCTGAAGGGAGAGATTAGAGGTGCGGCTTTCACATTCTCTCACTCTCTGACTGAGATCTGACATTGGAAGCTGTCCTCTGCCTGACCAGACACGGTTATAGGTCCATGACGCGCTTGCCTCTGAAGCGGCAGGGTTTACCTAAGGACGACGATTCGGCCGCAGCCGACGCCGGAGAATCAGCAGCAACTGAGAATTCTTCTTCTTCCGTAGGATCCGAGTCGCTTCTAACTCCGTTGTCGGCTGCGGCAGCTACAGAAACTGATAACAATTCCAAAGATAAGCCTGTTCGTGTTTATGCCGATGGCATCTACGACCTTTTCCATCTCGGCCACGCTCGATCGCTCGAGCAGGCAAAGAAATTGTAAGTTGCCTCACGTTAATTGGATGTGCGGAACCTTGAAATGATTCTCGAAATACAGAGTTATCTTACTGTAATGATTTGAATTCATCCAACTTTCTTTCTATTTGCAGGGCATCTTATTTACTGATAGTTTGAATGTTTGTTGGCTTATTGCATACTTATTAATAATTTTACTCGTTTATCCATACTCTGAACTCGAAGAGGTGGTTATCAGCGTTTGTAACGACCATGTTCTTCGGAGATTTTTTTTAATTAATTTAATTATGAACACGTTGGTTTGCGGTATTAATGCCAAGAATACCCGTTAATTGCTTCCGTGGAAACTATTCCTATTGTTAGCGGGAAATGAAAATGGATTTACTGTTTATTAGAGCTTAACTTCAAAACTCTTTTTTTGTTTGAATTATTGCCAACTTCTGGTGGTTGGAACATAGAAATAGCATTAACAGTCAATAAGGACCATAGTTGTTGGAATGAGTTGATAAATTTTACTTAAATAAGATACTCAATGAGAGGAATATTGATAATCTTACCTATTTCTGTTTTCTGTCTTTGATAGTGATGTGTCACCAAGTTGTTTAATTAGTAGGTTCATGTTAAACATTGCTACATACAATTGTTGTTCAGTTGTTAACTTATTATCAGTTTTATCAATGCAATGAAGCTATGACCAGCGATTCTGGCCTCTCTAGTTGATGCAATAACAAGTTGGTGCCTATGTTCTGACTAGTTGATAAAATAAGATATGTTCCAAATTTAAGATACTCATGTTCTCGTATAAATAAGTTAATATAGACTATAATTATGCATGAAAAGATTGGTATTTAACATTTAGTTTACATCCTTTGTGTTGCAAACAAAGAAAAAGTTAGGTTAGATAGATTAGAATAGGGAATCACAGTCCTCGTTTTTTAAAGAAAGAGGGCAACCTTGCCTGTTTTATGTGCCCTTTTTTTGCGGCAATTCCATACCAACACACCACTGATTGGATGAAAACTTTGAAGAACTCTGCTGCCTTCTTTTATTTTATGTTTTTTTTTCTATTTTATATACCATCATCCAATCATGTTATATCACAAATATTCAGAGCAACAGCATGAATATAACAAAATGTAAACATATTCTATTTTATTTTAAAAAATCAGAGACATTAACAAACAAATAAAGATTTAAAATGACTTTTTTTTTGTGGTTGACTAGTTATTAATCAACTAGTTGACTTAGTTGATGCTTAGTCATCCTAGATGACCACATCATGAGTATCAACCAACTAGTTAGTAATGCAGTTGGTCTTGCCCTCAAGGCCTCAACTGACTAGTCAAGTCAACTGACCCCGGAAGCAGGAGCCTCGTATCTATCCTTGGGATCTCAAAAGATGTGGCTGCCATGGGAAATATGGTGCAGCAGCTCCCAAAGCAGTTTCTTGACTCATGGATCATTTCAGAATTTTGTTTGGTTAGTTTATGTATTTTGACTTTGTGGGTTTCTTTGAACACCAGTACCTATGAGGAGCCATGAAGATGGGTGACAAGATGTTTTTTTTTTATTTATTAATTTTCTTGGATTTTAATTTTATACTTGATGAAGATTGGATTGCTTGGTGAAATAGTAAATCTAGGGCCGACAAGTGTGAGAATGTGAGTTCAAGTTTGAGAGTGGCCAGTTGTGCAAGAAATGCCAAAGGTTTAGCTTGTAAACAGTCCATCTCTACCAAGACCCTGAATAACTAGAACCAGCAATTTGGTTGGTAATTGCCCCTCTATTATGAGATTTTGTTTGTTAGATTGATTCTCTCTTTAGAGACATGCAGATTTTGCCTTTCCAGTTTTTCTCCTTTGAGAAGTGGAGCAGTAATCACTACTGTGGTGGGGAGTTTGAATTTATGTTTTCAATTAAACATGGATTATTTCTTATATGGAGTCAAGTAAAAGTTTCTTTGTACTTACTGTGGACAGAAATGCCTTTTTCTTCTTGATTTTTGGTTTCTTACTATCGTGCAATGTTTTCTTTCATTCTTTGCACACATTTTGGATTAATAGTATAAATGTATCTTATTGATAAAAGATAATAATATAAATGCACCTTATTTGGGTCTGGTTGGTCTAATCTCTGGCTGACAAGTGTGAACATGGATTCCCCATATAGCTGGGACCAACATTGAGTAATGGTCTTTTTCTTTTTATTTGAGCCTGGTTGACAGCTAGAACCAAATCTAAAATTCCATTTTGTGTTATCCATTCTTTCTCTTCTCTTAAGCACCATGTTGGATTCATCTTATCAAAAGAACCCTTAGCAAGGTTGTGTAAGTCCATGCCTCTGTGTTGCTTTTTGTTGCTTACTGAACTTCAACTTTTCTTGACTTCCTATTTTTCCTCATGGTTGTTCTTTCAATTCAGGTAAATCTATTTTTCCCAGTAGAAATACATTGTTGTCCTTAGTTTGTTTAATCTGTTTATGTTTTCAGGTTCCCAAACACATATCTACTTGTTGGTTGCTGCAATGATGAGGTTACCCATAGGTACAAAGGAAAAACTGTTATGACTGAAACTGAACGATACGAGTCACTTCGTCACTGCAGGTATTGTTGGTTAATTTCATGGGTGTTAATTATCTTTAGAATGCATGAGGTATGGTACTTAGCACTCCTAATGGCATTTTTAGTATTCATGGAATAAACTTTCTGGAACCTTTTCCAAGAAGGTAGATGCCCAATTTTCAGATGGTCATTGTAGTTTTTTTCTTTCCATCTACTTTGCTTCATTTTCTTGGTTTACTCCATTTCATGTTTCAATTATCAGGCATCCACATGATATTATTGAATTTACCTTGAATTTTCATACTTGTAATTTCCTTTGTAAAGTGGATCCATAGCATAAGATGGAGAAATTTCATATTCTTTATCTATGTAGCAAAGCAAAATTATTATGTAAGAACTGATAATAAATGATTATGTAAGGGGACATCACAGATCTAGAAACAAATCACTTAACTTTATAGAGCAGCATGCTTTCATCTGCTTCCTCTGATTGAAAGGTTTTTGTGCTCAAAGAGCAGTGTATTTAAAACCGGACCGGACCATATGGTTGGACCGGAAAAACTAGGAACCGGTCACCTGAACGGTTCTGTTTCACCCCAAAACCGCTTTTGGCCAAAAACCGTTGATTTGGTCAGTGAACTGCTGACCCAGGCGATCAAACTGTCGAACTGTCAACCAGGACAATAGTTTTTGGCCGTTTTTTGTTTTTTAATTTTTCATTTTTTTGTCAGAGTGGGTCAGGGGGTGCCTTGTCGCCTAGTCGCCTAGTCGCCTAGGCAATGGATTTTTTTTTTTTAAGTAAAAATCACATATCCTAGGGTAGTTCCCTTGGTTCCAATAACCAACTTTCTTTAATAACTGTCCATAATTTTCATAAGAAAATTATAAACTTCATGTTTAAGTCTAGAAAATCAACATATTTATGAGAAGAAAAAGAAGAAAGGAAAGAAAAGGTGGAAGAAGAAGAAGACGATGATGTGGAAGAAAAAATGTGTCGATTAGACAAAATTTTAAGTTCTTCCCTTATTTATTGGTTCAGATTTTGAAGTCATTGAGGGTTCAATACAGCAGTTAGCAGTGTTTGTGTTGATTAAATCCTAACAAATAAGAAAATAATAAAAAGAAATTAGTTTATAAACACAAAAAATGAATATTTTTCTTTAATAATATCTATTTTATAATTATAATCTCAAAAAAATAGCAATATAAAAGTATTTTATTACACAGTATGCAAAACTGCTTAGCAACTGGGCGAGGCAAGCCTCCAAAGGCACCTTGTCGCCTAGGCATCGCCTTGACAACTATGGTTCGGACCATTTGACTCAGGAACTGGACCCCAGAATGGCTCCCTGTCTGGTCCAGTTTTAAAAACCTTGTCAAAGAGGGAGGTGGTAATGTCAAATGTTGGGATCATCTCTTTGTGTCATGATGTGGTTGTGCTTTTCAATATTTCTTATCAGCTGTCATGTGAATAGAAAACAATAGAGTTTACTAGTGAAAAAGAGTTAGTCATGCAAAATGTGTATTTAGAAGATCTAGGTGGGCAAAAAATAATGTGGGTTGATATAGTGACAAAAAAACTGAAGATTCACAATTTAGCAGAAAATATGGTCAATTAGAAAGTGGATGGCAAAATAGGATTCATTTAACTGAAGCCAAATAGTTGGGGTTATGCTTTGTTGATTTGAGTTGAGTTGAACTCAGGTGAAGGTGAAGTTGAGATGAATGACTGGCAAATCTTGGAAGGACAGAATCAATACTCTGGGCAGTTATGAGAATATCCAGGTAGGGCCAATAGATGACAAGACCCAGCAAGGTTTGTTGAGATGGTTGCACTGCATAGAAGACCAATGGGTAGATCACTGAGGAGCGTTGATCTGGTATTAAGTTGAGGCCTCTAAATGAGCAACATAATACCAAAGAGTTTCCAGGAAGTAGCATAAAAGACTTGAGGACTTATATGGTCAAGGTATATAAGCAAACCTAGATCACAGTGGTCAGTGGAGCACCAAGGTGTTGCTTTGAAATTTTACGGAAGACAGAGAATTCTAGTTTAGTTCCCTAGCTTTGTATAGCCAACAGAAATCATATAAATTGAAAAATATTAATGGCCTCTACTATATAACAATGAATTTCATATCAGCATTGTCAATTGTAATATTCATAAAGCAGTAGCACTGTAAATCTATTAATTTCCATATTTAAAACACAATATTGCATAACAAAAAAGCAAATAAACAAATTAAACGACACATAAAAAGATGAATTCAATAACATGGGAACAAATCAAACTAAGTAATTAATTTAAATTAACTAATCAACAAATTAAAAGAACTAACAAGTAACAACAAGTTAAATACATTATGATACTTTTTGTTGTTTCATGATAATCTTTACTTCTGTTTTCTTTTTCCCTGATCAGAAAATTGGACACTCTATTTTCTCTTTCTCCTATACCAACAGCTAACAAAATTTGCATTGGTTTATCAGATAGGCAAAAAAAAAAAAGAAAGAAAAAGAAAAAGAATATGCATTGCTGAAGCAACAGTGTTTGGTATTTAACAGTAACAGCTCAGGCATTTGTCTAACAAGAAAGTAATGGCATGCTGGAATAAATATTAGAGCAACAAGTCCACAACAGACTTTAAAACAATTCAAGTTCTCTATTTTTATAGAAAAGAATTCATTGGAACTTGGAAACTCTAACGAAGTTGTAGAAAGTACATAAATTTTGGAAAAAAGGAAAAAGAAAAAAAGGGATGAATAGACAAGTGAAAACCTCTGAAATCTTACTGATAAAAAAACCTCTGAAATAACTAGAGAGGGTAAGAATCTTTCCCAGTTCCTGTCTCTTTGCTTCAAAGGTATCCTTTGTGTCACTCCAATTTGCAATTTGTGAGAGGATCTTCAGGACTGCAATAACCTCTTGTTGGGTTCAGCAGAAATTCTAGAAGTAAAAAGTTTGAACTACCATTTCTATTTTTTTTATTGGAGAACGGGGGACACTCTTTGGAGTTTAGTTGCCTAGGTGGTGGTGTGGTGCCTTGACAACAATGGACAGAATATAGCCCTTTTCTAGTGTGGAATGGCGGAACATTGTGTAACTGAACCCAAGCAAATATGACAAGTCTGTCAATCAAAAGAGGAAAAAAATGAAACAAGAAAAAACATTTGGTATGAGGATTTCTAAGTTGAGGAAATTACCATCTCATTCTCATTGTATCATTACTTCACCAAAAATGTCTAAGAATTCATGCCTATACTTAGTGGCACTCATTCAGCGAGGAAGACATTCCCTACTTACCAGAATCTTTACTTGGGACTTAGGCCCCGTTCGTTTACCACTATGTTGGGGTCAACTTTCCCACGTTCTTTTGCAAATACATGTGGGGCCCATGGAAAATACAGATCCCCCCGGGTAAGTATTTTGGCCATTTACCTGGGAAAATCTTACCCACCTCAGAGGTGGGTAAGTTACTTTCCCATCGTGGGGTGATTTTKTCCAGTCGAAAATACCCCTGTTAACAAGTAAGCAAACCAAAAAAGAAAATTAATTAAGAAAAGAACTCACCTATGATGAACGATGCAGATCTCCAACCGCCGCTCTTGGATCTGCTAACCCGGTGACCTTTATAATCCACCATCCCTTCTACCATATCTCCTCCTCCCAGCAGCGGAGATTCACTTGCTGAAGGTCACACACCTCCATTCTTCCCAGTCCCCTCCCAGGCCTCCTCTTTCTTTCTTTCTCTCTCTCTCTCTCTCTCTCTTCCTTCTACGCAATCAACAAAGAGAATTGAGGAGAGACAAAAGGGTAATGTTGGCAATAGTGTAAAAAATGGGCCTCTTACCCAGGAAAGTTGGTGAGGCAAAAGAACATGGGTAAGTTGGAGTGTCTCATTTACCTGGGTAAATTTCAATAGAAAGAACATGGGTAAGTGAATTTACCTAGGTAAGTAAGATAGCGGTAAATGAACAAGGCCTTAGGAGATTGTTCCTCTCAACTGTTTCCGCTCCTGCTTTGCTATAACAGAATATATTAAAATCAACAGTTACCAGTCTGCACAAAATTCCTTTTACACTCCAACTATGTGCATTTTTTTGGGTCTGTAGGTTCTAAATTTTCTAAGACATAATTGACATCATAACATATGAAATTTGTTCCTACTATAATTTATAAATATGCTAATTTAAGTAAATGTTTTGTGACGTCAAGCAGCATTTTTACCAATTCCTAGCTCCTAATCCTACTTCATCTAATAAGACTTTGTTACAGATATTTAAATTTTCTTTTTAATAAAAAAATGCAGGGATTTATCTATTGTTCCTTGTTAATGTTAAAAAATAGAAAGTGCTTTTGTTGCTTGATGTTTGGTTGGCTAATAACTGTTCAATGCATATATAGGTGGGTTGATGAAGTTATTCCTGATGCTCCATGGGTCATTACACAGGAGTTCCTTGATAAACACAAGATAGATTATGTGGCCCATGACTCTCTTCCGTAAGATCGATGAGCCCGTATCTTTCAAATATTTGGTAGCTTTACTTTTAATTCTTTCTTACTAAGACTTACATTTGCTTACATCATGTATCCTATGAAATAGTTTGCTTGTTCCACATACTGGTCATGAATGTTCATAATATAGCTTCAAGCTTTAATCCTTGACAATAATATGAAAACTGGTCTCTTTTTCAGTTGTAATTCTAGATGTAGAATATATAAAGTGTTTTATCTCATGTCAAAGATCTGACATTTTTTAACGGATTCTGTTTAGATATGCAGATGCAAGTGGGGCAGGCAAGGATGTCTATGAATTTGTTAGTTGCTTCCTTTGTAGCTTCATCATAATTATTTGCACAATTAGTTTATTTAATTATGCAGATTAACCAATCAAAACACATATGGATATAGGTTAAAGCAGTTGGGAAATTTAAGGAGACACAACGCACCAAAGGAATATCAACATCAGATATTATAATGAGGATTCTTAAAGACTACAACCAGTACATAATGCGAAACTTAGCTCGCGGTTACTCAAGGAAGGACCTTGGTGTGAGCTATGTGAAGGTGCAATCAGATGCATAAATGTTAATAATTTTTATTACCATGTGACAAAGGATTTCTTAACAGGATTTCCTGACTGAAATTGTCTTTTATTGGTGGTAGGAGAAACAATTGAGAGTGAATATGAGAATAACGAAATTGCGTGAAAAAGTGAAGGAACATCAAGAGAAGGTTGGACAGAAGGTTTGTATTTCCTGAATGAAATGCAATTTCTCGATCAGATATTTATTTGGGCCTGTTATTAGTTATTGTTCTAATGAGATCGGCTTCAGTGCTCACAAGACTGTGCTCACACCATTTGCACAGCCTTTTACACCATGCATTGGGAATATCTCCATACTTGTATGTTTTTTTTTTTCATGGGGAGATATTCCCAATGCAAGGCTACAAGGGACTGTGTGAATGGTGTGAGCACGATCTTGTGAGCATTGAAGTCGATTTCTGTTCTAATGATCTGAAAATCCTTTTATGTAGTAATATGGTCTCTTTGTTTAGGAATTGCAACTGATATGTAAGAGTTAACTGTAACAGCATTCTTATTAAAACCACACTGGTACATATGGATGCAAAAATACACACATAGGCATGATTTGCTAGGTCTTTCCTTTAGAGAAGATATCTGAACAACCAAAAGAATCTTTCATGTGGCGGCATGTTTTGGATTGAAAAGGTATCCACATGTTCCACCCTATGTTCATGGGCCAAGCTGTGGCCCAAAAGCCCCTCCCCCTTTTCTAGGAACCTGTTGAGTGAACAGAATGAACCTTTGGACAATTTTTTTTTCTTATTTAATTGATCATTGAGGTATTGCATTTGAGGGGTTGCACATATTCAAATAAAATATTTAAACTAAGATATTATGTGACTTAATTTCAAAGGATGTTTTTTCGGAGAATTGGAGAGCTTTCTGATGGCCTTATGCTGTATTGATTTCAGTTGCATATTGTGGTCAAGACAGCTGGTATGCATCATGGAGAGTGGGTTGAGAATGCAGATCGCTGGATTGCAGGTTTCCTTGAGAAGTTTGAGGAGCGCTGCCACATAATGGTAAGTTAAGAGTTACTTTCCTCTAACGTCCCATCCATTACCTCTTTCCTTATCCTGTCTTCTTATGTTATGAATAGGAAACTGCCATTAAAGACCGAATCCAAGAAGGGCTGAGAAGGCAGCAATCAAGAGTGATGATGAGCCTCCTCCATGATGAGGAATCTTGAGATGAATGGTTTCAAGTCCTTTGTTGGAAATGGAGGGAAAAAATAATAAACTTAGGTGCAGAGTCATAGTTGGTATAATTTTCTTCTCTTATGCTATTGTGTGCTTGTAAAATTGGTGGTGGTGCATATTCTGACAATGGTAATACTACGATTCACTGCATCTAGTCTACACCATTGCATGAAGGGGCTTGAGAATTGTACCAGTATCTTCATCTAATGTTTAGATGTAATTAAATGTCTCATTTCATTGCTTCCATTTGTTGATTATTATTGCATCCCTCCATTTGTTTCATCATCATGAAGAGTTGTTTGCTTCATTTTCCTTGATGTTTCTTGCATGCTTGCTGGGTTTTTGTACCTGTGTTGTGTATCATATTCAGCCTTGCTATTTCAGTGGCCTTTGGTCGGTGGGTACTTGGCCACTGGGCTAAGGGTGTATGGTTTATTGGTTTTACTGTTAAAAAATAACTAATATTAGACAAATATCTGCAATTTACATGTTTATGGCTAATGTTGTTACCAAGGATGGGGTCGAGGGCAACAAGGTAATTTTACTTTTTTGTCAGAGGCCCCGGGTGTTATCCCAGGGGCGGAGACTATCAGATAATAATATATATTTCAGTTGTCAGATATCTATAATGTCCCTGGCCCTGAGTACCAGCTATGTTTACTTATCATGTCATTAAGCTGTTGCAGAGCTTCCTAATTGCAATCAGGTAGGGTTGTCAGTTAACCGGTTTTGGGTTGGACCACGTCCAAATCAAAATAAGTTTGGATGGATTGGAAGGACCAATAAGACAGACATTGAAATGGACCAGTCCAGACTTAATGGTCCAAAGTCTTTATAGGATTGGATTGGACCTGGTCTATCTGTAATGGATTTATATTGGATTGGGTTGGATTGAACTAATATCCAGTCCATTGATAGAAGATAAGAATACAGATGTCAATGGATTAGGTTTTGGGTTGGAACCGATCTAATTTAAAACTAATTTAAACAGATTGGATGCTCTAAACATTGAATTGGACCGGTCCAAAATAGTCCAAAGTATAACATCGGATTGGATTGGACCTAGTCCATTTGTAATGGACTCATATTGTACCGGATCAGATTGGACAAAATCTGATCCAATTTACACCCTTTCAATCAGGCTGGAGTGTCTCCTTTTATGTAGCACTACGGCTTGATTACTTAAATTTACATGAATCGTAGATATGGCTTATGAAGGTAAGAGAGAATCACGGATATTTTATGGTGTGCGGTTAGACCTGGCAATTGGGTTGGGTGGGTTGGGTTTGGGTTGGGTCAAGACACTATGGGTTGATTTTGGATTGGGTTGAATATTGGGGGTGGGTTATCAAATGTTAGACCCTAACCCCAAATGTTCGGGTTAGGGTTGACCCATGGGTCAATTCGGGTCATCCAAAAAATAATTGAAAATTAAAAAATAAAGAAAAACTACATAAAAAATGTCAAAATTAAAGGAATTAACCTTAAAATTCCAAATACAAAATAAACAATGTTGAACATTTAACAATTTAAAGAGCAAGCAATAAGGAGTAAAGTGTGGAAACTTCTAACAATGCATAATAGTCCTAATTAGACTTGATAATCGGGTCAGCGAATTAACCCATGACCCAATCTAACATTTTAACCCAACTCAGTTTTTCCAGGTCAGGTCGGGTCATTTTCGGATTCAGGTAGCTAAATATGAGACTCTAATCTTGTTTTTTTGGGTTGGATCGGGTTGAATTCGCGGGTTGAATCAACTTTTTGCCAGGTCTATGTGCAGTCTAATAAGATGAAAAAATTATCCTGGAAGGTAGAAAGGCTAAGCCTGGCCTCGTTTTGATTTATATTCCTTTTGTGGAATCAACATTGCCTAATGGTTAGCGCTGTCATTGGACTCCGAAAGTCCCAAACCCGATTCAACATCTAATCCAATTATTTGAACCCATCCGATTCAATAAAAATAGGAATCAAATTATATTTAATTTAATATTTATAATGCATATATAACAAGGTGAAATCTATGAAGCCGGAAAAGGTATATCATTAGAAAAACTTTGACTAATCAAAACATCACTTTTATTATAAGCCTTTTTTCAGTATCATAGTCACACCATGTAATTTTAAAAAATCTTTTTATATTTCCTAGACAAATTATATTTGGATAGGATTTGAATGTTGAAATCGGCCACCCCATGTTGCCTTAAAAAAAAAAAAAATCGGCCACCCCGGTGGCACAGTGAGCTTTATAGGTTGAAGCAATAAAACTGTTACCAAATATATTTATTTTAATAAATATATCAGACTCGGATTTTTATTGAATCAGATGGGGTGAATCCGAGTTTGATCTGATTTTTAATTGGATTCTACTTATGCCATTTGAATCCAATCCGATAGACATTATGGGATTGGGGTATCGTTGATAAGTCTACTTGGCAGGAATGGGAATGGAGAATTTACATCTCCGCCTCACAACGTTTATTGGGAACATTCGGGATGATATGCCAGAAATGACGATGTCATCATTGGAAATACACGGAGGGAATGTGAACTCCCTCTGCCCTCAATCCGTCCCTCTCTCACTGTACTCCCACCGTCCCTGTTACGTAGTAAACCAAGAAAAAGTGCTGTTTGACTGACCTTCTGTCCCCCGGCTCCCCACGTGAAGCACGCTCACCTCAGCTCAGACCCAACATCACTCCAAAATCCAAATCCCCAAGCAATCCAACTAGACAGCAAATCAAACAGGAATTTCTCTTCTGCTGCATAAGTAACTCAATCGGCAGCAGTCGGCACCCACAAGCCACAGGCCACAACATCATAGACCACAATGGAAGGAGAAGCAGCAGCAGCTGAAGCAACTCCCATCATACCTGGCCTTCCCGACGACCTTGCCTTGCTCTGCCTTGCCCATCTCTCACATTCCCATCTTGCCTCTGCTCGCTCTACCTCACGCATCTGGAGAGCCACTCTCTCTCCTTCCATTCTCAACCCAATTCGGAAATCCTTAAATCTCCCTTCCCAACAACTCCTCTTCCTTTCCCTCTCACCCTCCGACTCCTCTGCTGATGAGCTCCACTGGTGCATTGTCGATCCTCTCTACCATCGTTGCCTGTCGCTCCCTAAACCAGCTGCTGATACCCTCACTTCTCTACTTTCTCGCCGTGCTATTTCCACTACTGGCCACATTTTCCTGCACTTCATTCGGAGCCTAGATGAACCTTATCTTAGCCTCATCCWGTTTTCCGTCGAACAGTTTGTCATCAACTCTGGGGCTGCAGCTGCCCACCATATGGCTGGTAAATGAATAAGCCACTCCTATTTCAATATTTTTTTTTCTTTTTTAATGCATTCTCCATGATTCTGAAACGTCTTTTCCCTTTGCAGGCAGCTCACAAGCACCTGATGTTGATGCTGCAGCCACTTCCACTTGTCAGGGCAACACTGATTCTTGTTTGCTCAAGGGTGAAGAATTGGCCTACGACATAATCCAGGTTCCGAATGAAGACTTCAATCCTTTATGGTCTGCCTGGGTTGGCCTTGGTTCGCGTCTCGTTGTTGCTGGTGGGACCATTGGGAACCAAGCAACGTCCATGACTATGACCTTTGATGGGTGCCAGTGGAACAAGCTTGCTCAATTGAATGAGCCAAGATTCATGGCTGCTGGGTTTGTCTTTAAGGGTGAAGTCTGGGTGCTGGGTGGCAAGCGACTTGGAGGGGCAGGACTGGAGATTGTTTCTTCCGGGGAAGTATTCATGCCCAAGCTGCAGAAGTGGCATCTAGTGCCAGAGATGTGGCCGAAGCACCTGCAATCACTGGAGGAGAAGGTGCCTTGTGTGGTTTGTTTCAAGGGAAGGATGTTTGGGCTGAAGATGGGGTCTAACATGGTTGTGGTTTGGGATGAAGGGAGGAAGGGGTGGGACTGCCTGGGTCTGATAGGGAGAACATATGTGGAGAAGGGTTTCAAAGGGAAAATTCTGGGAGTTGAGGAAGACAGTCTTTGGGCCTTGACTGAGGAGCCATTCATGATATTTGAGCTTGAAACCAGTGTAGAGATGGCTCTGAAATGGGCTAGGCCCTCTGAAGAAACTGTTCAAACTAGAGAAATAAGGGGACAATTGAGTTGGAAGAGAATTGATTCAGAGCTTGGCTTGGATGGGTTTCAGCGACTAATAGACAGCACCTTAATACATTTGTAGAAGAGAGAAAGTGGGTCCTTTTTACTTCCCTCTCCTGAAGCTAAGTTATTCTAGTTTTGATCAGCTCAATTTCTGATTAGTTGAACAGACAGAGCAGAGGAACTCAGAAACTTACGAGTGCTGAGTCTGCTGACTGCTGATGTTTTGGGTACATCTGTGGTGAAAAGACAAGGAAAACCCTGTTATTCATAAGTAATAAAATCCAAAACACAAGGGTGCTTTTGTATTTTAACATGTGTGCTAGGTAAATTTATCAAAAATTGGATGTGCCCAAATCATCTCTAATTTAGTTGGATTGATTTTGTCGAACTATGTATATATCCAAATAGCATACATGCATAGTACTCAAATTCATGGTTAACAACAAAAGAAAGAAAATTTAAAACTTTTACTTCTCACACTGAATCTTTGGTTTAATGATCTTTCTAGTCCCTGCTGTACTTGTTTTTCTGTATCAAGTGAATAAAAGAAAAGAAGAAAAAAAAGAACTGCAGACCCTAATTTAGGTGAATCCACTTGTTTACTTGGGCCAGATAGAGAGTTATGGGTCCAAATTATTGTACCCGATTAGTTTATCAAATCAAATTATAGTCTATACCTTAAAACTCTGATTGGTATGTGAGTTTTTGAAGTAGTTAGTTAGATTTGTTGCATACTTGTCCACTCTCTCTAGTCTGTCTATCTACAGCAATATTCAAATTCTGGTCTGTTCTTACTTCCTTTTCATTAACACATTTGCACCGGTGACTTGCCAGCATGGTTTTTAAAAACGAACCGGTGACCGAACCAGTCAAGGGTCCGTTATCGGTTCGAACGGTCAGCCCATTTTGACAAAAAAATAAAAAATTTTAAAAAAATTGGAAAGCGGTCAAAACCGTTTGAACAATTAACCGGCCGATTCAACGATTTACTGATCAAAATCAACAATTTTGGGGGAAAACGGAACCGATCAAACGACCGATTCCCAATTTTCCGGTCTGGTCTGATTTTGAAAACCATGCTTGCCAGTTAACACAAACAAAGTTTTGGTAGAGTTTGGTCATTCGGGTATGGGTTGAGCTAAGACACAAGTTGATAAACCTACCAAGGGTACAAATTAGTTCCATAGAATTTAGAAACTCAGCTACTGGCTATAGAAAAAATGGGGTCGGGTCAACAACCTAAAGACCCAGGCTTGTTCAAATTCATCGAAAGGTCTAATATGGGGCCATACCCCACCAACCAACAAATGCCAATTAAGATGTAACTTACTAAAACCATTTTAGAAAGTGCATGAAAAGGAAAGCCCAGACTGTTAAAAAAGGAAACCCAAATATTGATCAAGAAAGGAAACCCAAGAGTGCTTGCACTACTGGGAGTTGTAATCTCTATCAAACTCATTGTTTGATTCTCTCTCTCTCTCTCTATATATGGCTTGTTGATGAAAAAAAAAAGAAAGAGAGAACAGAGGATGAATGGTGAGAAGCTCTTGTTGTTCATGTACGAGGAGGAAGATCTCCATGAAACTAAACTAGTACGTAGTCTGCATGTAGCCCAGGAAGGAAGAGGATTGGGGAAGAGAAAGTAAGAAGCACGGAGAAGTGTAGGAACGTGCAAACAGGGCATTGAGGAAAACTGATTTCGTTTCAAAGCTTTTCGCTTTGGTAATGGAATGGACCTTCTTCTTCTCTATGTTTCTTGTTTTGATTTATTGTGATCAAGTTTTGGAAATAAGTAAAAAGACATAAAAGAAAAAACATATGTAAGAACTGTTATCTCAACGGACTAAAAATTTCTTGGCTGGATCTGGCACATTATAAACCCTACGTTGTTTATGTTGCACCCTTAATATTGTGTTTGTTTTCAATTTTGACTGAAGATCCATTCGTGATATCTGATCTTGAAACCAGTGTAGACTGTACAGATGTCTCTGAAATAACAGTGTCAATTGGGCCAGATTTGGTCCAATCCGATACGGTCCAATATTAATCCATTACAGATGAATCAGGTCAAATCCAATCCGATGAATATTTTGAACCAATTTGGACCAGTCCAATTTGATGTCTAGACCATCCGATTTGTTCAAATTAGTTTTAATTTAGATTGGTCTTAACACAAACCCAGGTTCATGCGTACCTGTGTTTGTATGCACAGCATATCGGTTCAATCTGACCCAATCCAAAATAAATCCATTGCAGATGGACCAGATCCAATTCAATCTAATAAATAACCATTAAGTCTGGACTGGTCCAATTTAATATGTTTTATTGCTCCGTCCAACCCGTCTAAATTGATTTTGATTTAGATGAGTCATGGGATCCAACCCAAAACCGGTCCATTCACACTCTACTCTAAAACTAAAATGGGCTAGGCCTGATTAGGCTTGGATTGGTTGACACAAGACAACTAACAAGAAGCACCTTAATGTAGGAGAGAAAGTGGGTCTTTCTTATTGTTTAGTCTTGAAGTCATGTTATTAGAGAAAAGTTTTAAAAACAGGATTGGACACGGAACCGTTTTAACTATCGGTTCTTGGGTCAAACAGTCTGACTGTCTAGTTCGAATAGACAGCCCGTTCTGATTTAAAAAATTAAAATAAAAAAGTCATAACTATTATTCAAGTCAAATGATTGGTGATACGACCGCCCGAGTCAGTGGGTCATTAATCAAATCAACATTTTTTGTTCAGAAGTAATTTTAGGGTAATACGGAATCGATTGCCTGACTGATTCCCAGATCAAGACCATCCAATCTGACTGATCCGATTTTCAAAACCATGTATTAGACTACTACTAACCAATAGAGAAATTGACCATCTCCGCTACTAGGTGATGGGAATGGCACTATTGTAACAAGTGTTCTCTTCTTCGCGTCATCAAGTGCCAACCATCGTGCCTATAGTCGCCACTCCAATGTCCAAGTGTGTGTCATGGGTGGGTTATGCATGTACTTTTATATTGGGGATTGCCAATGACATTATTGTAATACTGTAGTATGATTTTTCACCTTTTTGATGTTTCTTATTGTCACTCCACCAAAAGCTTAACGTACTCTTTGAGGGGAGGTAGGTAGTCGAGTGAGCTCATAAGCGTGTAAAGGTTAAGCACGAGATCCCCTCGACACTATACTGTGTGCTTGTGCTTGCCACTGATTATTGCAATACAAATAGCCTTTTTTTAATTCGTGTGCCATCTTGTTGCCTTTTTGTGTGTGTTTGCTTTGTTGCGTAGGCTTACTCGCCCTTTCGAGTGCCGCACGGGGCCCCAACGATTACCCCCGTGACAGTTGGTATCAGAGCAGGAGCTCCTTTTAAGCCATTCGACCCGCGACACGAGTGACAACATGAAGCACAATAGGGACATCGTGGAGGAGATCGAGCATGGACTCTCCACAGCCCATGAGGTCGATGATGCATCCGACGACGACATCGGCAAGGACAAGGCACCGAAGCCCAGCAAGCGTGAGAAATCTTCCAACAAGCATGCAACTGTTGAGTTGCGCATGCTGCGTTGCAAAGCCACCGTAGGTGAGATGCGAGACTCGATAGACGAGCTGCATCAAAACATGGAAACCATGGACAACACACTAGTCGAGTTTGAAGGTCGCTTGAGTGGAGTCGTGGACGAGGTCCGGGACATAATCAATGGCATGCTCAAGCAAATTTGCAGCACTGCGCGCCAACAAGAAGCAAGTTCCTCCAACTCGCAGGTCCAAGACAGGCTTGACAGTTTTCAAGCCCAGCTCGATGAGATGAAGAAAGAGTGGGCAACGTGGAGAAGAAGCACCTCCACATCAATGGTCGTCCAGGCCTAACTAGATGAAATGAGAATGGAGTGGGCCTCAATGAAATCCACCGCATGTGCCTCCTCCGACACCCAAGCTCAATTAGAGGAACTCAAAGCAGAATGTGCAATCCTGAAGAGGGCCGTCGCTAATCCAGCCAGCACTTCATTTGCACATACTCCCTCCCACATCAAGATTAGGGAGCCAACTCCCAATTCGGGTACCCGCAATGCACGAGAGCTTGACAACTTCATGTGGCAAATGGAGCAGTACCTTACCGCCACCAACGTGACTGATGAAATGACTCAGGTGCATACTGCTACTATGTATTTGACTGATGTTGCTATGTTGTGGTGGCATAGAAGGTGTGTTGATATAGAACGTGGTACGTGTGTTATCCGTACCTGGGCTGAATTTAAAAGAGAGCTGAAGAGACAGTTCTACCCAGAGAACGTGGAATACCTCGCTCGTCGCAAGATGAAGACTCTCAAGCATGATGACTCACTCCATGACTATGTCAAAGAGTTTTCAGCCCTCACATTAGAAGTCACTGATATGTCAGACAATGACTTATTGTTCAACTTCATGGATGGCCTAAAGCCTTGGGCCGAGCTCGAGCTCCAACGACGCAATGTTTAGGACCTTGCCTCTGCCATGGCCGTGGCTGAACAACTTAGTGATYGGAGACTTTCGGATGACGAAGGAAGCAGACCAGCTAGCCTGCGTACCACACATTCGAGTGGGGAGATAGACAACCAAGTCCCCCGAAGGAGAAGCCACCCTTCAACCACAAACCAGTCGAGCACCACAAAGGGAAGCGACCACAATAAAGTCAAAGCTACTACAACAACAGATATCAAGGGAGACCAAGCCGTCCTCCCATTTGCTACATTTGTGGGGAGGAACACTTCACTAGGAATTGTCCAAAGCGAGCAAAGCTGAATGCCCTCATTGCCAAGCTAAGTGATGATGAGCAGAGTGATGGGGAACGGAGTACCTAGGCGCTAAGAGTGGGCGCCCTCCAACTTTTCAATGCCATGATGAAGAAAGGGGCTACCTCCAAACAGCCCTCCTCAGTCAAGAAAGGACTGAGGTATGTTGATATAACCATTGGCGGGAGGCCAACCAAGGCCCTATTTGACACAGGGGCTACTCACAACTTCATATCCATTGCAGAGGCCAAGAGACTTAATTTGGCCGTTTCCAAAGAGCCTGGCTGGCTCAAAGCAGTTAACACAGGTGCCAAACCTACTAAAGGCATGGCTCGCCGAGTAAGACTACAACTCGGCACCTGGGATGGAGAGATTGACCTCTCCGTCGTCCACATAGATGATTTTGATATTGTCCTCGGAATGGACTTCATGATACAGGCAAAAATGGCACCGACGCCTCACCTTGACATCCTGATGATCTTGGATGAGTAGTCACCTTGCAACTCCAACACCACCCTCAACCATTGATGGCAGAGAT